GTTGGCAGTTCAAATCCACCAGGCTCTCATGTCAGCTGTCAGCACCATTTGTTAAAGAGACTGTCTTTTTCCCCACTTGATAGATTTCAGCACTTGGTTGAAGATCATCAACTGTCCATAGGTGAATGGATTTACCTCTGGGTTCTCAATTCTGTGCCATTGGTCTGTGTGTCGGTTAGTGTCCAGTACAATCTGTTTTGACTTCTGCAGCTGTATAGTAGATTTTGAAATCAGTGAGACCTCTTACTTTGTTCTTCAGTAGTGCTTTGCTTATCCGGGGCCTCTTTCCTTTTCACATAAAGCTAGTGATTGGGTTTTCCATCTCCTTAAAGAATGTTGATGTTATCTAGATCTGGATTGCATTTTATCTATAGATTTCTTTTGTTGTTGTTATTAAATGCCATGGAGTCGGCTCCGACCCATAGCAACCTTATATAGATAGCATTTCCAAGGAGTGACTGGTAAGCTTCAACTGCTGACTGTGTGGTTCAAACTGACTTTTCAGTCCAGCACATTAACCCACAGCGTCACAGTAGTCACAATGTGAATGCTTATCTCTGAGCGTGTTGTTGTTGTTATGTGCCGTGGAGTCGGTTCCAACTCATAGCGACCCTGTACAGGGTTTCCAAGGCTCTAAATCTTTATGGGAGCAGAAAGCCTCATCGTTCTTTCATGGAACCGCTGGTCGTTTTGAACTGCTGACCCTGAGGTTCTCAGCCCGATTCGTAACCACTATGCTACCAGAGCTCCTTTATCTCTGAGCATAGTGTGTATGATATTTATGTAGGTCTCTTTTGGTTTGTTGACGTAGTGTTCTGTTCTTTTCTTTGTGTTAGTGTTTTGTATCTCCGGTTGAGATTTATTCCCAAGTATTTTATATTGTTTTCGAGTCCTGGTGTGGCATTATAGGATAAGCACTGGATAGCAAGGTTGGTTTGAACTGCAGGGTTGGTGGTTCAAACTCACCATCCGCCCCTTGCAAATTCTTCGCAGGGTTGCTATGAGTAGCTTTTGGGTAGCTGTTGTAAATGGTATGTTTTCCTTATTATATTGTCAGAGTTCTCCTTGTTGGCGTCAAGGAATTCAGTTGATTTTGAATGTTGATCCTATACCCTATCACTTTGCAGATTCCTTGAATTAGTTCAGTCGATTTCTTGGCTGAATTTCGATGAGATTTTCTACGTTATCAGATCATCTACAAATAAAGGTAGTTTTACTTCTTCCTTACCAATCTGGATGCCTTTTACTTCCCTTTCTTGCCTTATTGCTCTGGCTAGGACTGCCAATACAATGTTAAATAGGAGTCATTATAGAGGGAGTCCTGGTGTGGCGCTGTGGGTTAATGCGCCAGACTGCAAAGCCATTTGAACTATAAGGTTGGTGGTTCAAGCTCACCTGCTGCTCCTCAGAAACCCTATACAGGGTTGCTCTGGGTCAGAGCTGACTCGACAGCACTTAACCACAACAAAGATGGCATTCTTATCTGGTTATAGAATCCTGTTCCTGCCCCATAACTTGTGTCTTCACTTTCATTCAGCTCCAAGTACTAATTTCCCTTTTGATTTCTTCTCTGATGGTGGTGTTTTTTTTTTTTTGGTGTGTTGTCTAATTTGTACTTTTTTGCAAGTTTCTCAAATTTTATTGATTCTAATTTCATTCCACTGTGGCCAAAGCACATACTTTGTATTGTTTGTATCTTTCTAAATGAATTGAAAGGAGCTCTGGTAGTGTAGTGGTTA